GGTCAGAGAAGGGGGCTTTGGGGTAAGGCCACTTCTCGGGCGCCCCATGGCTATGTACACCCTGGTGACTCTAGTGGCACGCGCCGGAATCGACCCAGGACAGGCAGCCAAGACAGCGGGACTCGACGGCGGAGGAGGACAGAGAAGAGCGGGAGTCGATGGGATCACTGCAAACTGAGCCACTCCACCTTGAAGCTCTTCATCTCATGCCCTGCCCAAACTCCCAAAGGTGCGGCCGCTGCTGCCCACCACGCAGTACTCGCGCTACGTTGCCCATACCCTTTCAACTATGATCCTGCATAGCATCATCATTGAAATTCATTCTGAGTTTATTGCACCAAGAGCTACAGCCCGAAACCTCATCCTGTGGCCATGGGCGTATTGGTAACCAAGCAGCAGGGCAAAAACTGGATCGCCACCGCCTCAGAGGATCAATGCCACGGCATCAATGAATGAAAGAGTGATCTGGGGTAATTCTACTAGATTCTGACTATATCAGAATGATGAAGGGGCTGGCTTCCTACCCATTCAGGCATCTATTTTGAAGTCTCTCGCAATTAGCTGCGAAAACCAATGCCAGGCAGCAGGACTAGCGCCCTCATCTTGTTGGTTTCCGATTGATGGGTCCGTAGTAGAGTGGCTTACAGGGGCTTAGGAACCTGGGCTTTTAGGTCAATCTTCATTATTGTTGTAGAATTCGCCTCGTAATCTAGCACCCAAATTTGATTATACTGGGTTTTTTCGGTAAGAAATCGGGGAATGGGTTGTGGGAACTAGCAATGAGGATTCTACGGGACTGCTATGGAGATCCATTCCCTCATTCCCTGATAAACAGCGGCAATGTTCTACGAGCTGAATTACGATTAGAAGTTCACCACTTCTTGCAGGGTACTGAATTTTGTGGAGCTCTTAATCACGAATCCCTCCAGTTAAAGCAGCATTGCACCCATTCCTCCAGAGACTTAGAGCCTCAGAGCCTGATTCTCATGCTATGTTTGGCAGGAGTGGATCCGATTAGAGTTCTTCAGCTTCTTATGAAAATGTCAAATCTAATTCGGCTCACGTGTTCCCTTTCGGTGGCTCTTCGGAGTGCGAAGTTGTCAGCATAATATACATCCGGACTGTATTACGTCTAACTAGCCCTGGAGGCCCAGTTGCCCATATTGTGGGTTCCATTTGGCTGGGCTTTTGAAATTAAACTACCATGAAATTGATATATACTTATGGCAAATTCCATGGTTTTCTCTTGATGGTAACTCAGTTTAAGGTCCACAGCAGCAAGCCAGCAAAGGGATGTTCCGAGCCGCTGCCAAGCTGTCCGATCCTCCGCTATTTCTAAGCTCCAGTATGACCCCTAATATGGGCCCTAAAGCCTTCCAGAAGGATTCTAGGGACCCTGCAGGATACATGTAGGGTATACAATAGGTACATAAGGATCCCAGGGTTAAGGGCTCCCAAAAAACTCCCTTGAACAGAAGGCTCAAGAACCAGGCCCCATGAAGGTTCGACGTTGACAAACACGCCGAAGGTGAAGATACCCACCACCTGCAGAGAAGAGGCCGGGTTCCCTTGACCGCATGTCAAGTATACCTCACCCCGTCTGTCCCGAAAGCAAATCGAGCATATACACTCCAAATTCTACTGTGGAAGAGGCCCGTAATTTTGAGAAACCTCAAACTTCTTGGGGGATTCCATTTGAAAGGGGGCCCCGACACGGATCCCAATAAGTTATGATCCATATGACAAGGAGTCACATATTGGGGGTGAAGGCCCGCGGTTGCGGGGTCTGAAAAATTTCGTCTGTGGTTAGCTAGGAATGAAGGAATGGATCCTTATAGTAGTCCCTATATTACCCATTCTAGTAGTTTCCATTTTCTTTTCCATTCCTTCATTCTCAGCTAACCAAAGGCAAGAACTTGGGGAAGTAATCAGAGCCCGGCGCGAATGATTGGCGATTGGTTCTGGAATCAATGGAGCATGTACTACTTAATCTCTCCTATCTTCCTAATTGCCCCCCCAAAATGCTAAAAGAACTCCTGGCAACTGTAGCTAATAAGTAAGTGCCAACTATAGTACAGTAAACCTTCCTTAAGCTTGCCGGTGGGGAAGCGGTCCGGGGAGGATACCACTGCGATAGACAGCAGTAAAGAAACTGGCCCACATATGTTGTACGAGTAGTAGATTACACGTGTACTTGTGTTTGCTGCTGCTGCAGGAACAGTGTTAGGAGGAGCAGGAGGAGGCTTAGGTGCAAGGTGCGGCCGCCGCATCTGCAATCGGAGTTACACGAAAGCACACAGAAAATGCGCAGTACATTCGCAATCTTCATGGATGGCGAGCTGCTTGCAAGCCACAGCTCTGCAACCTCAAACGCACGTGGCAGCTAACAGCAAGAGCTTGTTTTGCGACTGCTGTACATGCTTGGGCTGTACACATGGCCAAGCGTGAGATGCTGCCTGCACGCAGGCAGCACTCTCCTGACGCGTTACGAATGACCGTTCTTGGCAGGCTGATGCCTGAACAGCGGCTAGGACGTCAACATCCTCTTGGAGGCTGCCTTTGGCATATTTTAAGAGGCTCTCACCTGGATAGCGCTTGATCATCTCAAGCATTGCTGCTTTGCAGGAATACCTGGTCATTGGCATCTGCGATCTGATACATGTCATCACGAATATCAAAACCACGTGTAGTCTCTAAGCTGCAGAGCAAAGCGGTCAACTCAAACAAAACACAGAACAGGGATGTTCAGCTGTCACTGCCTTACCAGTTCCTCACCCAGCTACCAGTGCCATAGCTGCTTGACAGAATGCATGTCAACCGCTCCGCTGCGTGCCTCAAGCTAGTCTTGTCGGCCTCAAACGCAGCAGAGACCACGTCAGCATCGTTGAGAAACTCTGACCTGGAACAAAATATGCGCATTCATTGGTCTAGAATGACCATGATTTATTGACAGGGGCCCTGGTGGGAAGGCGGAGGCTAGAGGAATGTTCCCTTCCTAGACTTGAGGGCTGGTAAGGGGTTGACATAGTTTTTCCGCTTCTGGAAAACACGGCCCTTCTATTGCATCATCAGCTCAAGCTGCAGTTCTAAGTTTGGACCAAGCAGGGAGCACCACGGCAACTTGCAGATAATGAGCGGAGAAGAGAACTGCTGACAATAGCATTCAAACATGGGCAAAGGAGGGAAAGGAAAGCATCTGCGCAACCAGAAAAAGAAGGATGCCAAAGTCGCCTATGGTTCTACTAGTGACTATGCAGAGATGTATGCCTGGGTCGTCTGTGACATGAGAACCCTAATCATCGCCGGTACATCTCAGGATTCCTTAAGGGGTGCAAAAGAGAAATTCATGGCTCCCATTTATCTGACGGTGAGAACGCAGCACGGAAGTATCCAAGCTACAAGTAGCTTCAGGGCACAGCTCACGACGTGAGCATCTCTCTCAAGAGTAGGTTCCCTGCATTTGGGCAACATATCTTGTATATCCAACACAAGACGGCTTTTCAAGTGGCAACCATCACCATCTCATTGAAAAGAGCCGAACTCACAGCCTCGAATTTTCTGCTAAAAATGCTTTCTGAGGTGAAGCCTAAATCCGAACACCTTCCATATGATGTCTTCTCGAACAGCAAAGCGCTAAGGTATGACTATGGATCAGGAACCTGCTGTCAACCCACTGACCGCCTGGCAAACTTCAGGGCATGAGGATGAGTTTTGACGGCTGAGCGCGCCAGGTCCTGGCGGCAGCACTACTGACACTACCAGGTTACTGAACTGAGAGATGCTTCCAGCCTAATCGCTTCACATGGTTGTGTTTGTGTTGCTTTTGTTTTCGGAGTTTTTGGAAAAGGCCAGCCAGGTTTGATTGACAGTTGCTGAAGGCCTGGGCATGCATCAACAAACCGGCTTCCACTCGCGCGAGATACCAACAGCTGCACGTAGGCTGCTTGACGCCCTCAAACCCAGAGCAGCTAAGACCTTTTGATCTGCATGCCTCGATGCCTCGAAATGATACACTGGTCGCAGCCTTTCCTCCTTCATTTCCAGTGTAATTTTTCAAGGGCCAAACACGACAGCTGCAACATCAACCTTCTTGCGACTGAACAGAAACAGCACCAGCTGTGGCAAACAGCATTGTGTGAACCTCAATCCGTACGCGGCCCTCGACCAGCAATGCGGAAATGAACACGTCTGTTTGCCTACCCAGCCGGGAAGCTCTGAGCCCTCTCCTTTGCTGTGACATGCTTCAGGGCATGGGGGTCTTGCTCCACAGCGCTGAGGACCACCTAGGCCCAGAAACGGAAATCAATGTACATGCTGCATGCATCGCTGGTGCTTGCTTGTACTGGTAAGATAAAAAGTCACGGAGGTATCATGAAAGCTGATTCTGGGGTCCAACAACGAACTCACGGGATCTAAGCTGCTCCTGCAGCTTGGACAGGCCTCGGCATAAATGTTGCAACCGTTCCGATCAAGCGTGTTGGCTATCGTTCCACAAGGCTACTGCAACTTTCTTTGTCATGATTGCTTCGTGATGTCGGGGAAGGACCGGCAGACCTATGGGTCCATGATCCCCCAAACTCGTGCCACAAACAGCTTGTAAAGTCGGTGCCCTTCAAAAGGACACCCCCCTTAGAGAATTTCTCAAATAAGTAGACAGTTGAATGGCCATCGAATTTGAGCTATTGCCCAGGCACCTCCTCCTGGTTACGAAACTTCCCCGCGAAGCGGAGGGCATGACCGTTCCTTTGTGAAAGAAGTGTTCAGTGGGGTCGAAGAGGAGGAACATAAGGGCTACGTTGCTGCCACATAAGGGCAAAAACATGGTCAAGTCATTCCTGAACATGCCGACATAAGGGCTGCCACCCTGCCCCAACAGCCCGCACTGTCAGGATTTTGGTTGCCTGTGGGTCCCTGATTGCGCTACCATGAGAGCACATCTCTAAAATCCAGTAGTCATTGGCTGCCCCCAGGCTGAATCTCAACAGATGCAACACATGTGCTGTGCAGTTGGATTACTTAGGGGAAGACGTACCCAAATGGTCTCGCAAAACTTATGAAATGTGGCTGGAGCTTCTGGGCCACGGCTGCCATCACTACCGGCTGGCTACGCAGGACGCTGGAGACGAACTCCAGAGCCAGCCCGTTCCTTGGTGACATCGCCAACATGATCTCCATTGTTGTTTGAAGAAGGGCCATAGCCTTGACACAAAGCAGTTGGTCAGGAAACACACAACCAGGCTGGTTCTGGGGCTGCATGATTTTGATTGTGACAGGCTCCACCAGAAAGACAGTCCGAACCGAGAACGCACTTCAGCACAAATCTCTGTAGCCCTATGGATTAAATTAAATACAATGGGATACCTGCTGCTTTGATCCGGTTCCCCATGGTGCCAAGCGACTGCTTGACCGCTGTCATGATCAACTCAGGGGTTGCCTTCACATTCATGGGGAACCCAGCGTGCCACATTGCAGGGAAGGCTCTTTGGTTCTTTTTGCGCATGAGCTATGCCCAAGGAAGTCCCTGACGTACTAACCCCTCGAACTGATCCCCGCTTCGATCCGTGAACCTACCCGCGAGTCCTTTTTGACAAACTGTAGCTTGAGGCCGTCCATTTCCTGAGCTGGGCAGACGACGACCACCCTTGAACTTCTAGTCTTGCACTGGCTGGAGTCCATTATTCGACAAGTCTCATTGGAGCACTAGCTCCAAACTGACCCACAAGCATATAACGGCGCCTTGCCAAGGCAGCCTATAATGCAAGGATTTGGAAAGTAGAACTCTGCTGACTGCAGCTTCTTCCCTTACTGAAAAATTGAAACATGGCACCACTCGCTCCAACCACAGAAGAAAAACAAAAAAAAAAACAGTAAAAGAGAAGCTGAAGTGAATCCAGTGGCAACAATCGGCAGCATGAAAGTCGCATCTGCCAAGACGCTTTATTCATCATCACTGGGTGCGTTGGGCTTGCTAGATTATTTGGTGCTTGCGGACATATTATTCCGGACTTTTACCGTGTCTCTAGACAGCATTAAGCCTGGAAATCTACTTGTGCTGGAATGCCTAGACACTCTCTTGACTTTTGCAGCGTTTGGCAGCCTCGGCCTAGAAACAGCATGCCAGACGGCAGCTTCAGTTTGTGGGCAACATGCTCCAAATGATTCCATGTGGAATACAGGTCATCTTGTCGGGACACATTTTAATTACTCCTTAGCCAGATGGAGGATTGTCTGTTTCCAGTCATTGAAGAACCTACTCGCATGTCCATCCGATCACAAGGACGGTCTTTCGATGTTGATCTGCCGCCATGATTCCAACCGGATGCCCGTACAACCACGCAACGAAAACCAATGTCACAGGCTATCAACCCAGTCTTCTGCAACAACATGCAAGGAAATTCCTCTGACTTCACTTGTTAGTTAGACTGGTTAGATCAACTACCCCGAGCCACAAGTCTGATTTTACAGTATTTTCTAGGGCTTTATTTGTATGATAGTACTGCGCCAACCAAGTCACCTTTAAGAAGCTCTCCATGGACATAGCGAACCATGTTCACATCAGTCTCGCAAACCTTCCGTTGCTGGCTCTGCGTTGGTCATGTGTTTTGATGCCGACAATTCAGATCCTCTTGAGTTCCAGCCACTTGCCCTCCCATAAATCATGACATGATCCGAGACCTCAAAGGCTCAAGTTGTCCATAGCGGGTGAAGCTGGATTTCAGAAGGCCACATGAAATCTAATCTAAACTCCTAGTATCCCCCTTAACAAGCCCTATAATACTCCCGTATATAACCCCCCATATTACCCTATATAACCCCTTGTATAACCCCTTTTGGAATTTAAACATCTTTAGACTACAGCTCACATCCATCAATGTGAAGGAGCAGCAGACCCGCCTTCTTCGCCAGATCTCGATTTTTGCGCATAACCTTCACAGGCACTGCGGCTGAAAGAGCGGGTGGCAAAAATACCTCAAAGAATGGTCCAGGGAAAATGCGCCAACCCGACCTCGCTGATAAATCTCATTTTATATAGAATCCTTCAAGAATTTGGAGATGTGGTAATTAGCTTCCAGACCACACCGTGCTCGAACAAGTATATGATAGTATACTCCAATTTCCCGCACGAAGCTTCGAAGTTCAGAACAGGCCCAGCCACAGGCCCTGCAAAACCGAAGGACATGAGGTCGTTTGCCATTGCCAAGTTTACGATCTCCTCATCCTGGGCAATAGGCTGCAGTGTGAGTACTTCAGTATCCTCATATTGGAAGCACTACTTCTTGAGTGGGGACTCAAAACCGGTCCCTCTGGATGCTCATGCTCCCAGCAATCTCCCAGCAATCACCAAATTCTACATCTACATGCCAAGGACTCGTATAGCCCGTGCAAAATCCAGGCTCAGAGCCTGTCAAGCCACAAGCCCAGGCGCATTCGGAACATCCCCCCAGGCATGTCGCAAAGCTCGGCCATTTTGTCTGACAGCGGCCAGCACCATGTCCCTGTCATTCTTGAGCTCCTGAAACATGGACGCACAGCCGCTATCTTCAAAGAAGTAGTGACCTTCTACTGAGTGCGCAAACAGCTTTCAGAGTGCATCTCGGTACTGAAAATACAAGACTCAAAACATGTCAAAACCCTGGAAGCAATGCCTTGCGTGTGGGTGGGGCCCATAAATTCTCCGACTCGAATGCAGCAGTAGTAGGTCTGAACTCCAAAGACTTGAGAAAAAGGCATGCATCAAATCAAAGTGAATCAAAGTTGGACACTTGCGTTGCGAACGGCTTGCTGCGCCGTTGTGCTTAGAACTCAGTGCTTTCTCCAGCTCAGATTTGCGATCGATCTCTCTCTGGCTCTTCGGCTCTGAAGGATTTTCAACACTTGGACACCTGACTGGCACGCTCCCCATCAAGAGGTCAGATAAGCAAATCTTGTGTAGAAAGCCCATAAATGCGGAAACTTGAGCCAGAATGTTGTGTCGTCCTTCGTGGCATAATTGAGACCTTCCCCATCATGCTTCAGGATAACCTGAGCTAGTGGTAAACGCAATACTTTTAGCTGCAAGGTCAGCAGCCTGGGGAGTTGGTGCATACTATTATGAATAGTGTGGTTACCATTATCAATCATTATTAGTAGTACTGTTGCAATTATTCGTAATTTTGTTACTATTATTCGTAGTTTTTGTACTATTCTTAGTAGTATTATTCTTACTACAACCAAACAACATTGTGCGCAGGCTTCTGCAATTGCAGACAGGAAATGAGCCACGGACTTGCATTGATTTCGTATCTCCGGTTGATTGCCACGCATATCTTCAGTGAAGGTACTCTGCAGACCCATCACACTCAGTTACAAACAAGCAAACCTTGCAAACACGCGCTTACACATAAACAGCGGTGCCAGACATGAATGGACTTTCAGCAAGTTTAAGCGGCGCGCATCAGGTCGGTACTTTGGCAAGTCGAGATTTTCTGAATTTGCCATTGTAAAGTTGATAGATGTTGATTTGCAGGGCCATGCCCTATTGCTTTTGAGGCTTTTGTTGCTATCTTAGCCTTTCGTGTTTGGGCGGCTATCGCTTTAGGTATCGCTAGAACTTTTGGTTGACTCCCAGAACAAAAACATATCAATTGTAGGCTGAACTGCAAGAACCATCCATTTTGTCAGGCACTCACATCACTATGAAGCAGTACTCTGGTAAATGCAACGACATGTTATCATTCACACGCTCGGCTTGGAAGCAAACTTGTGGCAAACAGCGATGCTATGCTAGCCGCAGTGGGCGTGGTTACTGTGGGCGGTTCACTAGTCATACGCTGGGTCGTGAACGCAGCGCTTGCTTCGAATCTCGAAAATTCTGAAATGCAGCTGCAACTTGCATGGCTCATGATCATGGGAATCCGTTCCCCTTCCAATTAGTAGCTCATCTGATCCGCAAAGACACATGCAGTGTCTCTCGGTCTGAGATAGGCTCCAACATCGAGTGGTCCTCAGTGCTTGACTTCCATAAGGATTCTAGGCTTCGCGGTCTCAAGGCTCAAGCATTCCGATCGCCAATGGAGCACTTCACGCGGACTGGAGTATAGGGGTAAGACATGTAAGATAGGGGTTATATTAGGAAAAATATATAAGGATTTTATGGGGCTTTGGGTCTTGGAGGTTGAAAGCTTTCTTGATTCAGCCTCGTGTAGTTAGTCAGTAACCCTAAATGCGGCAACAGGCTTGCAAAGTGAAATTCAAAGATGTATATCCCGTCCTGGGTTGCTCCTCAAAGGGCTCATCAATGAATAGTCATTCAACCCATGCCAACTCCATAATAAAAAGCGACAAACTTGGTCCCTAGGTTGAATGCAGCCGGTGTGCCATATGCACCAAGGAGACCTGACAAAGCACATAGGATTGAGACCGAAAGTGCTACGTGTGTATTTCTAAGTTGGGTCTCCCTTGGGGTAGCGAAGAGGCATGAAGATGCCAAGCCTAGAACGCCTTAATCCCTTAGATCCCAGCAACCAGGATTTGCTTCCCCTTGCTCCACCAACCCCACAGGGAGCTTGTCCATGCACCCGAACCAATGCGAGCGGTCGTTGAAATTCAGATACTCCAGCCTAAACTATGCACCTCAGCAAAATTCCTGGGATGTCTCTGGGAGGGTGCAGGGGAGGTGCCTAGCGTATCAGCTGAAATTGCCCCCTTCCTTGAAACTGTCAATAGAGTACCGAACAGTGTGAGCACGGTGCCTCGAGCTCTGGACCCTCAGTGATCTCTGCAAGGCTCTGGGCCTCACCTCCCGTGGTGCCAGCGTCAATCTGACAAACTGTTTTGGGAACTTGTCCTTTTAGCAACATTCAGTTCCGAAAAGCAACTGCAATCATAAGAAATATCTACTGAACATCCACTACTCCTGCCCCCGTACATAGATCATCAAGCTCATCCTATTGCAGGACTGCAGCTGGCCCAGCTGGCCTGAGCAGATGTCCGGAATGCGAGTAGGTTCAATGGCTGCATTCGTTGCTCACATCACGTCCGGTCTTCAGTGCAGCTTCGGGCTACTGCGCAAGCAAGTTGCAAGAAGCAGCTTAAAGAAGCTGCATTGGTCCACAAGATTACTAGATGAAGAGGCAAGCAGACAGGTACTTCTCACGTTAGGGTCCACCCTTGGCCTTACAAGTCCTGATCAGAAGGACACCCACAGTGCAGATAATTTTGCGGTGGACTGCCCAGACAGATGGCTACAATAGCAGCTCCTTTTGCTGAAAAAAGACTCCTGGCGTATCCTTTTTACCTTCAAGAACAATTCACAACAACTAAAGCCCCAAGTGAACTTCCACACCCCTGGCCGTCCTGAAAATCAAAATTCAGCAGGCTTAAAACCCAAAAACAAAATGAGTCCCTGGACTCTGCCCGTGCGCTTGGTACTCCTCTAGCTGCCCTTCAGTTCCACAACAACTTACCCAAATGCTTATGTCCATAAAATAGGGAGATTCCAGTATAGACCTTCAAAATATTCAAACGTTATTATAATGATCCCCAAAGCGGTATTCCTAATTAATCTTAGGAGACTCCATATGAGCTGTAGTCGAAACTCCTAGCATCTCCCTGAATAGCCCCCCATAGTAGTCCTCTATATAAACCCCTATACACCGCCCTTTGAGGACTTTAGACTATAGCTCGTATAGGGACCCTGGCGTTTTGTTGACCGGCCTAAGGCCTTGCAAGCATAGAGAAGCCGCTGGCGCCTCCAGTGCATGCCTCCCGAGGACGATCATTATCATGATTATTAGTGTTGTTACTATTATTCTTACTATTAGTACTGTCATTTCATACTATTATTACTAGTATAGCTCCACGCGACAGGGTGCGACGGCTCAAATAGTTCAAATAGTTGGAATGGAGCGCTGGCCTGGATGATATGATAGAAAGCAACCCAGCCTTGCATTCAATATCGCCATTTTTCCGCGCCCGTTTGGCTGGTACGCATGCAGGGCAACTAGCGTCGCAACTGGAATGGGCATCTTGTTTTGACTGGCGACCAGCGGGAGCACCACAGGCTCAGTTCCATAGCTCACTATGCTGTCAACAGTGCTAGCCGATGCCAAGACCAGCGAAGTAGACTTTCATCCCACCAATTACTTGCTGCTTGCAAGAAGGACACTTGTTCTTGTGTCTCTTCAGCACTTCTTGTGCGCAACTTGGGCAGCAATTGGCAAGAGAAGTGGCCACGTTGTCTTCATTGCCCAATTGGCAAATTCGCCACAAATGATGCTCTGGTTTTTGAGTGACGCAGAGGGCCGCTGTTGGAGCATGTCCGATCGCTCCCGTGTCTGCAACAACGTCCTCGCCAAGTCTCGTTCCACTTCTTCTTGTTAAGCCTCGCTGGCTTTGTTGAAATCACGCAGCTCCGTTGTCTTCTCCGTCCGACTGATCTCCCACTGTCTGAGTTTACAAGGCGCTTCCGCCCCAGAGACCTTCTGCCAGGGGCAGCAATCTTATCCCCGGAGGAAGAAGCAGGAAGATTGAAGCCCCTGGCAGAAAGTCTCTGGGGCGGAAGTGCCTTGTAAACTCAGACAGCGGGAGATCAGTAGGCTCATCCGGAACCATGCGCAACCAAATCTCGGACATGACGTGCTTTGTGACGGTCGGATGGTGGCACTCGAAAACACGTGCAAACTCCGTCCAGGTCATCACATCGAAATTCGAGTTGATGTACAGGCGGAAAAGCTCATGGAAATTCATTTCGAACCCCCGCACATCAAGCGCTTTCGGCATGTGGGCCATAGCAAATCGAAATGATGCCACAGCATCAAGGGCCTCCGCGCTCAACCTACACGTTGCAGCCTGCACGTTTCGGGTCCCGCACGCGGCACACGTTCTTTCGGCAGGCTCCGTGGTGGCGCTCCAGCAGTTCAGCCTTGCCCCTCGAGCGTTTGCTGGGTCCGGGGGACGTGGAGTGTAGAACCGCTTCATGGCCATTCGAGTCTCAGCGCCTTGAGCCAATAACGCCATATATCGACCAGATCTTTGCGCACAACACTCTAATCGAAGGCTGCAGCATGCAAGCCTAGAATGGCCCTCAACGTGCACCCTTGCCCACTTCTTGCCTGTCTTGCGCTTGATGGCCATCATGACTTCGAAAACCGTGGACTGCGGATCCTGGGTCCGCCCCGCACATCAGTTTCTTTTTGGTGGGGTCTGGTCCATCAACATCATTGTCATAGCTGCTCCTCGTGTTATGATATGGCTTTGTTGCCCTGTAACGGGTTCTCAGTTACAGCGACCCGCTTCTGAAACAGACCACGCCTTTTTGCTGCATGCGGCTATGAAGTTGAAGGTCTTATTAACTATTGAGGGTCCACAAGTGATTTTGGCTGCTGGCGACCGTCCTTTGGCGACCATTTCGAATAGTGGCTAGATACACTGGCCACCAAAGTAAGGAAGCTCCACGAAATTATGGTGCAGCAGGAGCAGGATCAGCCAAAGTAGGAGCACGAGAATAATAATTAGGAGGGACGGGCCCAAAACACAGCATTTTCTGTTCAAGTTCAGGACTTTTAAACCCACTCTCCAAGCCGACCAAGTTGCCATGTCCACTTCCAAGACCACCCGTGATGAGAGCCCGCGGAGGATCCGCACCTCAAAGCCGGCGGCTGCTCACCACAATCCTATTGCAAACCCATTTTTCCCAGTGGTCCTTCACAACCCCCCTGTGTTGAGAACGCCCCAAATTACCGGATCCTCAAGCAAGGGATCCCTCAAAAAGGCTGAGATCTTGGTGCAGGGCCCTCTTGCTCCTGGTGAGCTCTCGCAAGTCTTCCCTGATACTAATTACGCATGATGACGCACATCTCGTGCCTCTTGAATATCATTTCCTGGCATTCATGCGAGGCACTCCCTGAACTACGGGGCCCAAGCAAAAGCTGAGGATGGGGCTCTGATCCGATTTTCCATGGCTGCGACAGTCGGCAGGCAGCAGATACAAGGAGTTCAGACCGGCGCTGATACTCTAACCTCTCTTCAACTAGGAGTACAGGCTATGCCACGACTAATTTCTGCCTTGCATCTGTGCCAACAGCGAATCGTACGATGCACATAGCCGATAGAACTCAGAATCCGAGCTTTTTCGCAAATGGATTGGGCTTCCAGATTCGACCTTCCTACGGGCTTTGGCGTCCTGAGCCGTGGTGGCTTGGTCTCTGCTCAAGGAGAAGCGCACCTTTGCGGGGGAAGTAATGCTAACAACAACGATGAACTGGAAGCGCGGTAGGAAAAAGCCAGAACCTCCTTTTCAAGCCTATGCTCTGCATCAGTATGCGTGATGGCACGCTTGCAGATTGCGCTCCACACCAAGACAAGGGCCTTCGAGCCACATCGGTTCATGTCGGTAAAACCATACCGAAACCGCAGTGATTGATTCGTTGCCGGTAAGAGCAGCGGAATTCTGCATGGTGCAGTATTTTCTGAGCCCGGCCCCTCATAATCACTTGCAGCAGGGTTTCGAGTCTTGGGGCTCTGTACATTGCGAGCGTGCTGAAAGGGTTCCTTGGAAACTCTTCCATCCCGAACCCTGAAAAAAGCTCCACCTTTACACTCCATCTAGGCCGCGCGGAGATTCGTACACTTTCGGTCCCTTTCTGAGCAAGTGCATTTTACAGCGCGGACCACGAGCATGCTGGATACACACAAGGGGACCATAAGTTTAAGGACAGGTAATTGAAAGGTCCACAAGCCATTCCATGCCACGTCCACGTGCCTCGGCATTCAGCCATTCGTCTGCGGAGACCTGAGACTACAAAGGCCACACAAGGAAGAATGAGGCAACAATGATGGCGCTAGCAAGACTTTCCACACTCGTATCTGTTCAAATTGCTCATCATTGGAAGGAGCAGTAGAATCAGCAGAATGCTGTTGAGAGGTTGTGAACTCTGCTGGGTCGGCTAGCCTTAATCGCTGCAAGCGGAATGAATAATTACAATGCAGTTCCAGGAGCTTGCCAACAGCGAAATGATCAAGTCTTGCAGCAGCACTTATGTGATGCACGTGCATGTAAGTAAAGACGCTGTGGGCAGACATGCTGATCGCACTTCGGATCAAACTTGCTTGCACGGCTGGGACCGATGTTCACGTATGCAAGAGTATGTGCAACCGAAGTGAATTCAACTCTTCCACGAAAAAAGGTCCCTGCACAAAATTGCGAATACTTTCTCAAGTTCGCAGGTGGGGTTACGAAGAGGTATATCAAAAGAGGCAAGTAGAGTCCTTTTAAACACCGGTGTAATGCGCGGGATCGCATCTGGATGCTTGTATGCTTCCGGCATGAATGCTATCATGGTTTGGGCATGGATGTTCTTCGTTACGGTATGTAGTTGGGAATTACTGCTTTTTATGGTTTGGACATGGATGGTCTTGGTCACCATGTGCTCTGGGGGATAAGCCCTAATTAACATGGTTTGGGCATGGATATTCTTGTTCACCATGTGCTTGGGCATGGATATTCTTGTTCACCATGTGCTTTCGGGGATGAACGTCATGGTAGGGAAAGCGCGGTTTGGGCAGGGGCATGGATGCTCTTGGCAGCTGCATGCTGTTCCACATGAGCGTTATGGTCGCCGTACGCAGTCGGGGATGGACGGTGTGAATGTGCATCCATGCTCTGAGAAATGCTCTGAGAACCGCATGCTCCCAGGAAAGATGCTTACGATGGTTTGGGCATGAATGCTCTTAGTCACCGTATGCTGTCAGGGATGAAAATTACTATGGTTTGAGATGCTCCAAGAGGCCTGCGGTCTGCGGCTATAAAAATCTTTCATAGGCCATGAAGCGGGCAGGCTGCGGAAACGGATAGTCTCTGAAATCACTTGACATACTGCACCCGCACCCGTCATCAAATTTGGCCACTAAAAGCAAAAACTGAAAAATCTCCCATATGGTTCTGTGCATATCTACAGCCCCTTGAAAACTCACGTCTGCAGGGTTCAACAGAAACAGCGAAATTCATTTAACCTTTCCATGGAAAACGGATTCCTGCAAAATGTTGCTGCCGCCCCAGGCTTGAGGACATTCAACGGGTCAGGGCGAGCACACTGCGAGCACGCATCTGGATCTCCCTTAGGCTTAGCTTCAACATATGTACCCTTGGCAAACCCAGAACTTTCAGGGTGCGGAGCATTGAGGGCGTGTGGCCGTGCCTCCCAAACCTCCAAGACCTAGTCATAGAGCATGAAAACGCAAGTACTTTCATCAAGAAACCTTCTTGAAACAATAACTGAGAGCGCGGAAGCCCAGAGCTTCTGCGGGACGATGAGATGGTTGCCACAAGATGGCCACAAAAGCTTGTGAATAACCAGGCCGCGCACCCGACGAAGGGACTCAGGATCATGATTCTCCTCGCTCTTTTTTAGCCTGCGCCACTTGATTCCAGAGTCTGAAGCAAGCAGGAAGGACTTCCTGCCTAGCTTACCCCTGCAAAAAACATGGAATCGACATTGGCATGCTGATGCTGGATGGCTCACAGGAATGGCGTCGTACGTATGGCCAGACGCTGAACATGCCCATAGGAAGCTCTGAGTCCCGAAATCTACCCTCCCATTTGGCCTGGGGGGCCGCGCAAGGTCACCCTGCCTGCGTACAGGGAAGCACCAGGACTCGTTGTTCCATGCGTGCTTATAAAAAGGCTTTTACATGCTTTTAATATGGAAGCAAATGCAACTGCGGATTGCCACCAGACGTGGCCTCGTTTTGGACACGAACATGACGTCACATTGGGTGTGTTGGGCTTTGTGTTTCCAGGCTTTTGGATGCACATTTTGTTGCTGTCCCTGCAAGAATCATATTGGCCAAAAAGGCCAAATCCAGAACATCGCGCCTCATTGTCAGGTAGATGCGGCCATTCTCCTCGTTCAATTCGAGGACCCGAGCATAGATCTGCCACGTGAAAATTTAGTGGGCAAGCTGCGGAAGATGATTTCCCCTGTCATGTGGAAAACTCTTCAGCAATGAGATCTTGCTACACAACACCACCAACTTGCTTGCGTCCCGCATGCTAACCACTAGAGCAACTCCGGATGAATCGGATAGTGTTTTTGTGGCGTGCTGGGAATGCAACATATCAACCTAAATAACACAATCAATATTGGGATGTTGTGGCTGGCTGTTGGCTGTGTAGGCTTCGCTACGAACCCCTGCCAGGATACCTGCTTCCCCGGCCGCAAAGGGGCCAGCTTCTTGGGGAAGCCATCCTCCAGAGACAGCCATGCAAGGTTCACACAAATCGTATCTGATTTCACAGCTGCCTTTTCCATTCAGGCTGGCCTGAGCTACCCTGTGTAGGGCATGATTTCAGCTTCAGGGTTGGCATATGTTGGCATCTCTTTTGGTGAGCTTAAGCCACATCAAGTTTTCAAGTGCTTCAGAGCCTCGACGCTCACCAACCAAGCAGGGATTCCTCGAGTCAAGTTGGCATCGTCAGGCCCCCCTGTCCACCCGGAAAGAGGCCCGGAAAGAGGAAAGAGGCAAGGTGCGAATGAGCCCCCTTGACAAAACCTTGAGGCCTTGAAGGAGAACCCCTACCCGACACGCCTCCATCTCGCCATACTCGAGGACCTAGCGGCATGGCTTTGAAGGACGATGCTGTGGGGGCATGTAGGGCTCTGCAGGGCCAGGAGGCTCAACCCAAACAAGAGCTCTTGCCCTCATTAAATCGAAGCCGCAAAGCCTGAAGAACACGACTGAATCCATGGTAGAAGGTTCAGCGAAATTCGTCTGACCATTCCAGCTGGAAACAGCCTGCCTGACTGCTCTTCTACCCACCCCAGCCATGTGATAACTTTCACAGCACAACGAACATAGGGTCGACCAGCCCTTCCTTCAGATCCCTTAGCCGTTGATTCTCTAAACTCTACCTGTAACCCCTATTACCTACAGTTTAATAGTAGCTTCTCCTTAATTCATAGGGTATAACGGTATAACCCATGATACTGCAAGAGATGTGAGGCCACATTGGGTAGGGTTTCTCTTCTTTACGCGTCAGCAAAGACCAGGGGCGGTGCTGCATCCTTATCGGCTCCGACATCCACGTAGGCCAAGGATGCGCCCCGGCAGTTCATGACCTTCCTGGAAAAGGAGTTGCTATGGGTTAATATGATTCTAGTAATCCTGAATGGTGACTGGTCCTCTTGAAGGGTTGCCAAGAAATTTATGATGCGAATCGAAGACTGCGATTCTTATCAATATGTCTACTCCCCAGAGGGATAGTTTGAGAACGCCATGTGCACAACCGCAGTTGGGGCTTCCTGCTTTGAATCTCAGAGATGCCCATCATAGGATGGGCCAGTCCCAAGGGGCCAGTTGTAGTGGCTCGTTCACAAAATGTTGCCGAGCTTAGTTCATGCTGGAGCATGCGATGCTCAAAGCTCACCCTATGAGCGCTGGATTCAGCTCCTGAGTCGAGACAGTGGCTGCGCACTGGGCCCCTCACACGCGCCCCGTGATGTTTTGGCCTGAAGCTTGTGGGTGCTTGTGTTCCTTTACTTGGGAAGGAGTGACTTTGATCACAGATGTCATGTGTCCATGAACTACTGGGCTTGCAACGAACGGAGGGCCAAGCAAACTGCAGAGGATGCATCCCTGTCCAAAAAAAATAACCATCCTGTTATCTAGCAAGGTAACTGTCACAGCAGTATTCGTCAACGCAGCTACCGACAACCCACAAACATGATACGGGCCTACTCGGGGCACGGCCAACTTGGAAGGCCTCCAGGGGCTTCGGCTGCCGAAACTCCTCTCTGAGGGCACCCAGCGTTGCCACCTGCTCCTGTGTTCAGCCCACGCGAATCCAAACAGAAGCTGAGCGTGTAGGGCCCTACCATATGGCCTAGAACTGGGAGCCCGTATATCTGCTACACTACCCTGTACCTTCCCGTGCGGCCCGCGATCATCCCTGCTGTATCCAATGTTTCCAACACGGTGCCCCTTGCTTATATGTCCTGTCTGACCAATATGAAGCCATTTACATGCTCTCGGCGACTCAGAACAGGCTCCATCTCTTTTGCAATCGGAAGCTTCCCTATGAATCACAGATGTTGACCTACCTCCATCAAAATCGACTGGCGTTCCATGCTGTCTTGCAACTGATTTCGGCCCCCGTTCCCCATTGAGCCTCGCTCACAACTTGTTGCTGTGTCTCGTGCGAACTGTCTAGAAAATTAAAGTTGTCGGTATCCAATGTCTTGGCATAAACGGGCTCAAACTTTACAAGCCAACCCCGCTCTCCACGCCCAGCCTCAGCTCTTTCGACTTCCACAGCATGTTGCTGAAGGGTCTGGGCACGAGCGGCATGCTTTTATCTACTGCAAAGAATATACTTGGAGAGATGTGACTGCATGACAGTTCACGGAAAGCCTTCGCCGTGGCTGGAAATTAAATTTGTGCGGAAAAGTCCAGCAACAGCTTGGCAGCGAACATACCATTCCAGACGGGCTTCAAAGAGCAATTAAGTCCACGTTAGAGTGAGGGTTCGGTGTTGCGACTGCATGGTGGCCAGACAACGATAAACCCATGGTATGAGATTTCAATTGATCTTGATTAGACGCTTCAAAAAATTACAGGAGATGCGTGAAAGCTGAGCTAACGGCGGGTCAGCAGTGACAGAACCACATTGTACTTCTACCACAATCTCCCAGGCCAACCAGGCCGGCCGAGGCGGAACAATTTACTTCAACCACAACCTCCCAGGCCAACCAGACCGGCAACAGCACTTCAAGTGCAACGGCCGAGGCGAACGGGACGAATGGGACGAACGGCACAGCTGCCTCTCCTTGAGAGCATGGGCCGCCAAAGGAGGCCACGCACGACGCCTTGATTCTCAGAACTTTTCATGGGCCCCCTCCTCAGCGGAGGAGACCCCGACCCTTTCGTGCAACTTGTCCAACGTGTCAGTAGAGGGGCTGCAATCGTCGCAACAAACGGTGTTAGTGGTTTGACCACCTCAGCTGCGCGGCGACCCACGGAACCCACTGACTGCAACGAGGAATCTGGAACCCCCCAAAATAAGAGAAACCGGCATCAACAACTACATGCAAGAATACGCCTCGTAAGGCCAAGCTGGAAGTTCTGGCGATGAAAAACCTGAAACAGCAGATATGGCAGTGCTAAGGCCCTCACCGAGGCCTGCGGTCTGCAGAACAGCTGCCTTCCACAAGCGTGTCAGTGAGTCATCCGTAACTGTAGCGGGAGGAGGAGGAGGAGGTGCAGCAGCTGTAATAGTGGATGTAGCTGGAGAACGGGCCATGGGAGAAAAGTGAGAAGCTTCGCGTGGAAGAAAGGGTGGCTGCTTCAGGCGCTCCTTTCTACGGCCCCGTTCCTGGGATGTTGCACTATGGCTTGGAGGCCTGGGCCTTGTTACAGATTTTTCTCGACCCTGAAAACCTGTACTAACGGAAGTGTGAAGCGCGGAGTTGTTCTTCAACATAAGGTTTTGGAAGCCAAAAACCTTCAAATGCTCCCAACCAAAAATACCAAGGCCAGTTGGCACACCATGCCTGCAATCTCAAGCCCCTAGCAGTTCCAGCACAAGATGTCCCAACATCATCCAAGTACGTGTTCCCAGAAGCCAGAGGCTCAGTCAGAGCCTCCCACAGAAGCCGGCCGTGGAGGCTGGGGGCCTCCAGGCCTGGGAGAGCGCAGGACAAGAAGTGTACTTTGCGCTTAGAAGCTGACATGGCCATGACAGTCCTCATGAGGATCGCAATCGTCAGCATAGTAAGAATTGCACTGCTGAATTGCGAACGGGCAGGAAGGTAAGCAATGACGAATGCAGCCGTGGGGCATGGTTTTGGCTTGGAACCCTGGTAACGCTTAGGAACACAATCCTGTCTTCGACGTGAACCTCCATTCCAGATTGCTGCTTGGGCTGCCCGCCACCGCCCACCCTCACCCTTGCCAATACTTGCTGCGCACAGCTGCAGATGTACCATATAATCATTGCATTCTGTCCTTTGTGTGGGAAGCCCTCGGGTGTCAATTCACAACGGCAGAAGGCCTGCCTCTTGCTAGCCGCAAATTCAGGAACAGGGTATCCTGGATGTAATGGAAGCTGTCACGGGCATTATTTTTAGGGATCACTTTGCAGACCCATTTCTTGTTACCCCAAGCCCAGGCAAGAAGAGGCTCGCACGCAAAGACTCGCTCCGACGAGCAACAACAAGCCTGCGAGAGCCACAGCAGCGGAAGGTTAGCTGGAAATTTCGGAGTTTTCTTGAACTCAGGGAGCTGGAGCTAGGTACCAGTACAGTTTCGCAGTGTTTTTGTTGGGCCCCACAGGCTGTCACGCTCGCTGACCATTCTTCCTGAAGGACTTCCTAGACCCTCCGCCACTATGCCGTGCAGGATGAAGGGGCCATGCAAAAAAAGACATCCGTTGACCACTGTGACGAATGGAGACCAGGCCGTGCTCCTGCATGTACTACCGTACTTCTGCATCCACGTCAGCCTGCAATCTGAACCTTCCACACCCTCAGGGCGCTCCTCGTCCAGTTCCTCTGCCCATGCTGCCGACAGCATGCGCGAGGGCTCTTGCGAAACTACGTCCGTGTTTAGGCCCAAGGAGCTTCTGATTTGTAGCCTTCTTTGCGGGTCAGGCATGGGAGGTCGGCATCCTTCTTTGGGGCCTGCTGCAGAATTTGCAGGAACAGCGTCCATTTTGGCGCTCAAGTGAAGGTGTTGGGATGCTGGGTCGTGCAGGGTTGGTGCAGGCGCGGGCTCTACCATCATGCGGATTTTCAATGCCCCAGTAGGTGTTCTCTCATGGTAATATGCAGTCGAGCCAAATAGGGCTGAAGTCTGGCAGAGGGCTTACGCAAAAAAAAAACAGGCGTAATGCATGGGAAGCTATGTCACAAATCATCACTCGAAATTAAAAGCCTGCCACATGAGGCAGTAAATGGACTCACAGCTCCCTGACACTCAAACTCCAACCCCCGAACCTGCTTGTGCAAGTATGATTCCATTCCACACCTGTCCGCTCCAATGATTACTGGGAAGGAGCCAAAATATGAAAAACCATGTTTGTGCAAATTCTGCAGACCAAAACCTTGTGCACGTTGCTGAGTCGCTGAATTCCTTTGATCCAGGACAGTCAAAGATGCCTTTCTGGCTTAGGAAAGCACCGGAAATATCCGGAAATCCAAATGTAGTGGGCCTCAACAATTACCCGCTCAAAGTATATGGGTTGTCGTAAGCTAGTGAAGGCTCTACTTTTGCGGGAGTGGCACGTGAACAGAACCGCACTCCAAGTCAAGGTAGAAGCACGACGAAAAGCCCACGTCCTAAATCCAAGGCCTGCCGCAACACGAGCGTTTTTGGCGTGGGTCTGCACGCGGCCTTGTGGCATCTCCGCTACCTCTGAGTCCCTCAGAGCCCGCCAGGCTTTCGCTGACGACGACGCTGCGACTTCCAGGGCGCTTCGCCAACCTCCAAGACATGGAGCTCATTGCTTACGAAACGGGGAAGATGCAGCAGGTCAGATGTCAAGGCCCAGGCCAAACCCGTGCATGAATTTCATGAACCATGAAGCCGATCTGCACTTTGACTCCGGAGGCCAAGCTTCTTCTTGGCCCGAGGTGCGCCGGCAACCTTTTCACATTAGCATGAGCACTGCCTGCCCTCTTGGCTGGAGCCAGCATCATGGGCGGCAAGGCGCGCCCCTCATGCGCCAACTCTAATCAGCTTTGCCGGCTGTCATTTGCAGACCAGGTGAAGAGATGAATCTAGAATTCTACGCTGGCCGGCGCTTGTCAACTTTAAGGAAATCAGAGAGCTCAAGCAGTCAGTTGAGAAAGACCCTTGCACGAATGCTGCGGAAGACTTGATTTTGGCCTGAAGCAGCTTGAGCCCAGAAGCTGGGCAACCTGTCCGTGCCCCTGCCAAAAGCCAAGGGCTCCCGTGACACACAAACCCAGAAAGTGCCTCTGAGCGTTCGACTTCTGGGGTGGCACCGAGAAGTGCCGCCTGCCCAAAAAGCAGCTGAAGGAGGAGCTGGGCTGAGGCGTCAAATCAAGTCTGGGGTCTTTTTGATCAACCAAATTTTCCTATTTGCATTCTTTGCAACATTTTTGAACACATATGTAGTTCCATACAAATACCTCCATATCCCCGTTTCGGGGTGCCTGTCTAGGGTCTGACCTCTCTATGTACTGGACACTCGGTGCACGCCTCGTAAGCAGCCATCGTTGGACCCGGACCAGTGCTGAATGGCAAGTCCTGGAATTGGGCCAGCTTTCGGGTTTTGTGATCACGCGTGTTGCAAACATCTGCAATAATCGTCTGGGCGTAAACTCCAAATTTGACATGGGGCCAGAGGGTATCTGAGCCAGCTGTTTGTTGGGTGGCCTGAGCAGCTGTCGCATGCAATTGGCGAACAAAACGTTGAGCACTTTCCTGGAGGATACATGGCTTAGCTTCCCCGTACTGGCGCAGTCTTACCAATTAGTTGTGGATGTTTGTGGCACGTGCTTGACAAGGCGAAGCAAGACGGTGAATGACCAACACTCCAGCATCCCCTGATCTGCCTCATCTGTACTTTGACCTGAAGCAGGAAAGCCAAATCCCATCAACTACTGTACGGTTGAACGGGATGACTCGATAATCGAAAAAATGTGCCAGGCGGAGCGTGGAGGGATAGTGGGATTAAACACACGTACCAAGCTTCCATGCCCAGGCCGTTCGACAAGCCGTTAGTCCCAGTCACAGTTCCACCGGGCACCATATTCAGCGCAGCATGGGCATGGTTGCCGTGTTGCAGAAAACCATCGGCGGCATGGAGAGTTGGCGGAAAGCCTGGGGGGAAAGCTGCGGCCAGCCCTTGTGAAGGAGTGGATGGTGTCAGCGGCGTCATGCATGTGTTCATCATAGGTGCTGGCGTGGTGGGGGTCATCGGTGCTGGGGTTATCGGGGTGATCGTGGGTGACATGATGTTCATAGCTGGAGCAGGCGGTGGGGCCGGCATAACCTGCCCGAGCATTGACAGCGGTGCACATGGACCAGTGGGGGGCATTTGAAAGCCATCAACCATCAGTTCAGGCATTGGTGGCAAAGGCATGGTATTGGGAGCTGCGTTTGGACCGCCAGGGCTGTCCAAGGGCGGAGTCACCGGCTGTGGTTCTCCTTCTGCTTGAGGGATCATGGTCCGCAGGGTTCGCAGGGCGGAGGCCACATTCTTGCGAGCCACTGCTGACAACCTTGGCACCGCCTTCTGCTTGTCCGAGTCCGCATGAGGCAGGGCTTCATGGACTGGCGTGGCTTGAGGCAGATCTAGCCCGGGGTCGCGATCCACTGTGTCAGGCCCCTGGAAGCAGAAGTAGGGCAAACAGATCTGGTCAACTTTATCAAGCGGATCTGAAGTGGTGTCCTTGGGTAGCTCAGTCAAAACTCTAGCCTGGAGCACTACTATGCCCTATGGCGCGCTACTATCTACATAAAAGCCTCCTGGCAGACATCCAGAAACTAAATCTGCACCCCTCAAGCCCAGAGTCGTCCAGGCACACATGCACCCCTGAACGCCGCAGCCGCTCAAGCAACGCTGGTGGATTGCGGACCTTGCTCTTACTTCTGGCTGGCAAAGGCCAAATCTTTCCCACTTCAAAACGTACAGCGCAAACAGGGGCTACTGCTGATGCAACGAAACAGAGCGAGCTCAGTGGGTTTTGGAACTCTGGAAAGGCGACCAAACTTCTTTTATGACATGTTCTGGCTGCTACAGATCCGGATCTGCAAAAATATCTGTGTTTTGACGTGTTTCCGCGATTGTGGTTGATGTGTTTTGCAGTTTTCACGTTATGAATGTTTTTTCTCGCATCTCTTGCCTCTTGGTGGACTTCTCGAAAAGATGCGAGTAGAATGCCAGAAACATCGAAGCAAAAAAGGCCGACATCCTCCAAATTGAAAACAAAAACCATAGAGAACGCGAACAGAGTGCAAAAAAAATGCAACATGGTCCAGAATGCCAAAGTAAACAAATCACACATGAGAAAATTATGCCAAATATTTGCTTATGGAAAATCTTACATGCGGCCAAGAATATCTCATATGACATCTTCTTCGGCCACTTTTGGCTCTTTTCAGATAGGTGCCCCAAACCCTGACTCCACTATTGTCAGCGAGTAATGTCTAACAAGGCGTCACACAACTTCTGGGCAGAGCACACCAATCTAAGCTGGTGATGAGAGATCCAACATTGGGCCAACATCATTCCAAGCCTGTGTGCGAAAGGCATGTAAGCCCTGCATGTTCTGAGGTTCCATTTCATTCTCCATGTTCTATTCCATGTGATTCTCGATCATTGAGGGGGGATAATAGACGTGAACCCGAAACCCCTATAAAACCCTTTTTGCATCTAGGCCTCATGACTGCTAAGCCCCTTAATCCAACACACTCAACCCGAAACCCTCAATCCTATACCCTCGACCGTTAATCCCTAAACCTTGAACCCTTAACCCCTGAACGCTCAACCCTAAACCCTTCAGACCGGAGCTGACCTGGCCTGATTTCCGGCCAGGTAGAGCCACTTTTGGCAGCCTTTGCAGGACATGTGAAGTGCCTGGCAATAGCTAACCTAGTAGTACGAAGACCAGGAAAAACAATGAAAATAACACAAACGGCAATAACCGCAACAATAGTGATGCTATTTTCCAGTAGCGGTAATAGTAGGAATAATAAGAATAGTAATAATAAGACAATAGTAGTAAACTACAACAACGCCTTTGCTCCGAAGTCTTGCCTCCAGTAGCACTTGTCAACCAATATTACGCAACAGGACTATGAATCAGAAGTGGAAAAGCCGAATGCGCCTGGCACCGACCAATCCAAGAGTGGTTCCGGAACGTGCATAAGGGACTGGGTTCTGCCGGATGGTACAACGAAACCATACTATGGTAGTTTCCATGTTGTTTTTCCATTATCCTCATATAATTCCTATATAACCCCATGTGATCTCTATATAACTCCCTAAATAACCTCTATAGAGCCCAATAATCTGCAAGCCAGGGCCTCGGTGCTTGGCAGCCGAGGAGATGAGCCCAAACACTGCCTCATCATCCAAATCATTGCACGCCAAATCCAGTTCCTGTCAGGCATCACAAGTCGTGAGGAAGGTTGCAATGGTGATCTGAGGTTGATTACACGCCATCCTCGATATATAGAGTTGGATATGAATTAAGCATACGCTGAATCATCCTGCTAGGCGTTCTCTGGTGAAAATGTGCTGGTCCATTCAGTAGGTCCTGGGTTGATTCTTGCCAGCTAGGCTAGATTCGTCCAAAACTGATGCCGTGAGGAGTTGACTGCGCAAGGGTAGAGCATCCAAGCTGCCGCTTCGTGTCTTCGACATCATACGAACAAAATAGTAGTTTCCATTTTCTTTTCCATTATTCCCATATTACCCTAATGATCTATATAAACCCTAAACCCTATGTACTGTAACCCATTATAGTATTTCACTACCAACACAGCCCTGCGGTCCTGGAGGCCCCGTGCCCGTTGGATGAAGTCTCGCAAGCGTCCAGCAGACCTGATCAGCTCTACCCTCTCGACGCGCGCGAAGCCTAGCATTGCCCTGGAACAAATGAAAAACAAGTCGTCTGGGCTTGAATCTGAAAGAAGGACAGAAGAATCAACTTCCAGGAGGCTTTAGCAGTGACCCTACGGATTATATACGCACGTAGGGTTGGGGATCCTTTCAAAATAGAACCCTCAACGAGGGCATCAAACTCACAGGGCTCCGGAAGAGCTGAACCAAGTTGCTTCTGCGTCAGGCTGTTTGAGGCCAGCCACAACCTAAGCCATCACATCTTACTACCACTCGCAGTAGGAATTAGAGCCTTTGCCACTTGCACTAACTCAAGGGTGCGATGTAGGTTGCAGGTTCAAGGTGCAAGGGCTTCAAGGGTCGCATAGCCAAAGCAGGAAGCAAGACAATCCAAATGACGGGCACGACGCCATCAAGGTTCTAAAAGAACAATTGCCCCAACCCTCCCCCCCCTCCGCCCACACCCATATGCATATCAGTGCTTCTCCGCATCAGACATAGGCGAAATCTGTGTAGAGTTTCTGCGCGCAAGTATTTACAGACCTTTACATGTACGTTTGTCTTCAGAAGTGTGCTTCCCATTTACTATAACAGTACTGTGGGCCTGCGAGAATGCGTTGAGCTGTGAAGCAGGAAGCGGGCTAGTTCTAGAAGAACTAAGGGAACAAAACCAGCGCCCGCCAGATTAGCGAGACTACCAGTAGCATCTCACGCTCCAGAACGCTGAAGCCCATACATCATTGTGTCAGACCTCTCCCTTCTGGTTCATCCCCCCACTCCAGCCTTGAAGTATGGAACGCAACCGCAACTTGATTCTAAACGGCTCATCCTTCTTGATCCCATGCCTCTAGCACAGTTGTTCCCCAACTACTCACACCTTCCCAAGACAGGCAAGGCCACCGCACCACGCGAAGGTCCGCCAAGCATCCAAGAAGGTCTCCTGCATCCTGAGCCGCAACATGTGGGCTTGATCTGACACCGTCTCATCCTGACTGAACTTGATAAATTCTTCTGTTCAAGAAGTGCTTGGGGAGAGCACGCAACTTGAAAATCACAGAGAAGGCGGTAGAAATACCAAGTTGCCCTCTGGACTGACCCTTCGCCCAGTGCTTCGGTGCAACTACAACCAAGCAGGACAATAGAGAAGTCGATCATACTCGATGTTTAGGCATGAAGATTTGGGGTTCAGCTCCAACTACGACGGAGACAGAACGTCAAGTTCCCATGAGCCTCGATTACAACGAGCCCTGCCCCAAGAACCCAGGGAAGTTGCCCAAGATCTCAACCGCCCACTCCACCCATTACCCTATGCTGAAGTGCTCCAGCGTCCACGTCTTGCAGGCTCGTCCCACGGAAGTCAGCCCAGCAAGCAAATGTGTCATCAGATGCTAATAGCGCCTGCTGCGCCAGGCCTGCAGCAGCGAAAACCCAATTAAGTGACGCCCCGCTTTTTTGGGCAGAGGGTTCGCAGATGTATACACAGAAAGTTCTCAAAATGCAGCTGTCACAACAACAAGGCCCATACTCATTCTCAAAATGCCAACACCAAGTCCAAACACAGTGGAGAACTGAATCGGAACCCAGCCTCTAGACTGCCCTACTCCACCTGTCTGCTGATTTGCAGGAACATTCTGCCAACCCATTCCCTGATACCTCCAGGGGCACGGAGCCAACCCACCAGGAGAGGCAGCTTGTCCTGCTCTGTGCCCCAAAGCCCTAAAATGCTATTTCCTAATGCTCATGCAGATACAAGTTGCACTCCTACTGGCTCGCTGCTGTTAACGCAAGCAATATCAGCACCAGCGGGACTTCTCATGAACCCATGTGACTCGTCTATGTAATTGGCTCCGGCAGGTCAACGCCAGCAAAGGTAAGCTCGAGACCTGGGCAGGAGGTCTGTCTTCCAGTATCTGATGATAAGACAGAAGGAGCGCTTGTTATTCATGAAGCCCGTCGTCGTATACAGGATTGCAATGGTCACGAAATCCGCGCTGCTCGCAACATGATGCAGCTAGTGTGCTGCAGCAGTTGGTCTCGGGATGTCCAAACGTAGAGGTGGCAACAGGTCGCATGAGCTGGCATGCGGCAAACGCGGGCGGAGCGCAGCATTATGACACGAATTCTTGGCTTCTATTTTGCAAGGGGTTGCAAGGCCCGTAACACGGGAAGACCTACTCAATGAGATTACGAAACTGGAGGCACATGGCAAACAACTTCTCCCAGGCCCTCATGAAGATGTTTGTTCTCCTTGTATGGCTCATCTACCGTCGGATAAAACAGCTCCTTCGGAAGTGAGTCTTGCAGCAGTCTAAAATTCCAGTGTCCATGGCAATTTCATCCAAATCCAAACTACCCGCACCTCCGCGTTCTAAACACATACTCTCCATGCAATGAAAGGGATTTTCTCCAATAAGAACATTACAATCCTTGGCATGGGGACCCCAACACTCCCAACATCTGGCAAAGTCACGCTTTGGCGTCTGTGGGCTTTGTGGCGAGGCCTCGGCTTCCAGGAGGAGGGAGGATTGCACCTGAAAACCTGTCTGATCTGTTTGGTTGGCCTTGGGAGCCCTTTTAGAAAACAGTGGTAGCTTGGGCTCGATGAAACGAAGGGAAAGGCTTTAAAGATCCCAAAGGCCAACTTAGCCTGGCAGATGTTTCTTAGAAGCATGGTCTCGAACTCTGGTGAGAATTTCCCAAGCAGGCTATCAATCGGCGTGAAGGGCTCCAACAGGAAAGAACATCCAGGAGAGTTGGGATTTGGGGCTGGACAACGGACGTGCCAAGTAACATCAAGTCCGCCTGTAATATGTGGTGTTGGAACAGAAGCCTATCGTCTGTGTTGAATGCTCATCATTAGTCGGATCGAGCATGCTCGGACAAGGAGCTCAAGCAGAGTAGCGCATAGCAAAGCCTAAAGGATCACAAAAAAAAACGTTTTCAAGCATAGACTGGATTCTGAACTCCACAGTCATGCATCTCAGCACGTACCAACGAAGCACAACCGCCATGAGCCCAAGGCCAAAAGGCCGCTCCCGAATGACGCAAATGCAGGATGTCTCAAGAGCTTACATCTCGCAGGCACCCTAAGGCGAAGCTCACAAGCACAGGACACTGCAGGCTTAGGAACCACGACTCGCACGCCTGAGGCCAACCAGTCAGGCAGGGAGTCCTCAGCCGAGAGACCTGGCTTCAGAGGTGAAAATTTCTGGTCCACTACACAGCAAGATGGTCGCAAACCTGTTACAGGGACCAGCAGTGACAATCTGCCGAAACTCTTATGAGCGAGGGTCTGGAAGGAAAGGTTCATTAGGCTACCTTGCAACGTCGCCTCTGGACTTCTACTGAGGAGTCTTGTGCTTTCAGGGTGTGTCGAAGGGATCTGAATGTTGAGAACCATTCACATGGCCATTACAGTGGAAGTTTGCCTGAAGTACTTTTCCGGTAGCTGACAGGAACCAGGAGCCAAACGCAGGGTACCAAACTTCGCCTGCCTTCGGCTACAACCGCCTAGTGGTACTGGCACGACTGCCACCAACAAGGTGGCAAAGTTTTCTGAATCCTCGGACTCATACTCTTCATGCTAGCTTTGCCCTCATGGCTAACGGCTGGCGAGTTGCACCCCAACCATTTTCCATTGCAGCCTCAAAATCCCAGCTTCTCTGAGGCCGACACCTGTGACCTGCATCTAGAAGTCAGGGCGGCACCCGTGTCAGCCATGACACTTCGCGAATCTAGGACTTGAAGACTTGAAGCTGAGTGTGGGATCTACGTGTCCGGTCTGCAACTACTAGAGGTGGCAGTGTGGAGGATATGCGGGCTGAGGGTGGATGGAATGAGCAACAACCGGCGAATCACAAGCCTTGTAACAGGCGCAAGAACTACAAAATCAAATGATATCAAATGCAATAGACCTTGCCAACAGGTTTTTGACAAGTTGGACAGATTCTCACGGTATTTGTGCAGGCGATGTGCTGATGCCGACCCTGAAAATGATACCTTCTGCTCGTCATTTGACACTTAAGCCGCTTAAGCCGGGACACCAAGGTATGATGCAAACACCTCTCTGTACCCCCCGCTCTCGGATCCTCCCGGGCAACTCCCTCAGACTGTCTGCCGGCCTGACACAGCTTTGCAAGCCCTGCCCCTGAAAGTGAGAGTGGACATCACAGGAGTCCTTGCGCACTGCCTTCTTGACGCATCAGCTCTAAGCCGCACGGGAAAAATGACGGTGAAACTGGGTACCTACCAAGGCATGAACTGCGCCATGTGCTCCTTCAAGTTTGGACCTTCAGCCAGAAAGCCAATGGTGCTTCGCTTATCTGTTCCTTATTTCCTGCGAAAGTGGGCTTGTCTCGAAGATCCTGACATGGGCGAATGGCCATGTGCAAGCGGTCCAAGACTAGATCTGGCATCGTGTGACGCTCCACTCCTGCCACGCCAACTGAGGTAGCGTCTGGGATCCTCCCCAAAGCGAACCTAGCATGGACTAAGGCACACGCACAAAGCATCTTAGCAGACTAGTTGCCATCAGCTTAACTAGGGCTTGGTAGAGTTAGGAGCAGACAGTAGACACATGCAGCTCCGTGGTCTTCAGACCAAACTTTTGGGTGACGTGGACGTGGGATTATCTCTTCAAATTGTTGTGGCTCGACCGAGCAGGAAGATGCACGAAGCCATGAAGTCCGGGTAACATCCGGCGGCCCAGCTGGCGCCGTGCCCCAGGTCAGGTTCGCTCGTCGGCTCGGGGAGCTGCTGTCACCCTGCACTGTGGGGTAATCAAAGTTCACTGCGGCCTTGACATGGTGTCATGTACCCGAACAAAGAAATCTGATAGCTAGAAAGGCTGGATGACCTGAACCCTGAAGTGGCATGCTTCACACAGGCGCAAGCGCAATTAGCGTAAGACCCCGTTGAAGGCTGATGTTGGCAGTGGCCACGAGCGCAACGTGGACTGAAAGGCATACCACAGGTCTTGCAAAGCAGTCACCTGCGTAGCCTTGAAAATCACGATCCCCCAAGGGCCGAATAAAGGATCCCTGATGTCCATGACCAACTTATATATTCTGTCATGAGTTCCTCTGCTACCCTCCAAACTACCGCTCCCCAACGGCTCCCCCTGAATAAGCCCTAAAAGGCCTTTAAATGCCTTTAAACTATGATGCTTGCTAAAATCTTCCCATGAGGAGTTTGGCACCGACGAGTAATCATACCAGTCGCAGTCGCAGTAGTAGCACGAGTAATATCACAAATGAAAAGAGATCATTGTGATCATGACAAGTATCAGCAGCAAAAGGAGGTCCAGGACAAAGGTCCCGAAAAAACTGACCTCATGGTCTCCTCTAGGCTCTGCATTTGAATATGTACGACCGCTTCTGGTCCTCTTCCCCGGTAGTTTAAACAGAGAATGCAACTAGCAAAGAGAAGGACGCAAGTGCAGCACCTACACTACACAGACGTCAATGCAAAGCTGAAACACTTCTCCGCGATCCACGAAAACTGCTACTCTGTTGCACTAACATCCTTGTCGTTCATGGCCTGCGTGGCGCTGCGCCGCAGCTGCGGGCGACGGCTGGGTGAGCTTCTTTCGGCCTCCTTCCACGAATGGCATTCTGGCCATTATCAATCTGTCTTGGCCGCGGACAACAATCAGAACTTTGGCGATGGCGGGAGCACTGACTGCACAGGATAGCAAAGCAGACACGGCACAGAGACTTGGGCACCACCTAGTGCTTGAAATGCACTTCCTGAGGGATTTGCGTGTAAGATCTATGAGAAGTCAAAGCAAATATAAAAGTAGCAGCAACAGGCAAGGTCAGAAAACGCAAATTCAACCGAGAATGGCTGGCACCCTTTCAGAGCAATTGAGGCTAGTTTGCTTCTTGGTGGTAAGGTAGGGTTACAGTTAGGAATGAAAAAAATGCAACTTGGGGATTCCAGGACTACTATAGCGATCTATCTACCACAAATGAGTATGGGGCTCGGGACCCGGCGAATTTCAAGCTAGACCTGCGACCTCTCAGGACTAGTCCAGCGAACCCATTGGAGCAATTCTGCAGCAACATCTTGCCCTGACTCTTTGGGGGAGTTGTTCTAATCTTTGCGAATCTTCGAGGGCTTGACAGTTGCTCTATCTGACGGAAAAATCATGCCGATCAAAGCAACGTTTAGCCGAAGAGGAGGTCGTGCCTAAAACCCGCAATTTGCTGACAAGCCCGGTCGTAGTATTTCTAGTCTTTTGAAAGGATCGAATGCTGGGAGAGACACCGCACCTCAGCATGAACTCCATCTGCTTCAATGCTCCTCTTTGAAGGGCTCTCACTGGAGGCCTTGCCAACAGCATCAGTTCTGACAAAATGTCATGAGGCTGCATAGCAAGAAGGGATCACGATAATGATGACGGTGATGATGCCCACGAGGATATTATGATGATAACTAAATCAATAGCACGGGAGCGCTAAAATGAAACTCGACCACGTCAAAGACTAAGGTATCTCCGCCCATAGGATAGCACTGAACATCAATGTGCATCTGCACCCCAGATATGATATGGTATGTCTTACTATTTAATACCTTCTGCAGGTGGTCCTTTCCACTGCGGATCTGTATTGGGACAGAACATCCAGGCGCATCGTTACATAAGAGAGGACTTTACGCCTTGTGGAAGGAACCCCACGTACATTCAACTCAAACTTTTGCAAAAGCACACGGCTAAATCCTTGGAGAACATAGCCCTAAAACTTCGTGAGCTCGGGCCAGCCTGCGTAGCACTCCGGCGCAAGGCAGGACGCTTTGGAGGCGAGGTGCTCTGGGCCTGCAGCAACGCACATGAATGTAAAGCAGTTCAGAAGAATCCGGACAGAGAGCTTCCACACTTGAAGCTCTGCAAACTCAAGCGCCAACTCCACTTGCACAACGGGCTCGCTGACAGGTTGGGGGTTGACTGATCATATAGGTCTTTCATGAACAGGTCCGAAGCAGCCCTCTGCTTACTGACTGGTTTCAAACCACGAGTCGAGCTGTGAGAAGAGTGTCATAGAAAGATGCACGTAGCCAAGTGAAGGCGCATAACCTGACACAGAAACCTAAGCAGAAAATGCAAGAATAACCCCTGAAGCTCTGGAGCATCAGGCCTTTCGCTCTGCCTTCGGAGACTCTTGAAGAGGCTGACTCCCCTATCAATACGCTGGGCATGAACAGCTCACCACACTTCCACACGTGCTCCAGCATAATCTACAAAGAAACAAGTGCTGGCTCAAATGCTGCAGCGGTTGTGCTTTGTTTGTTCATGGGGTCTGCCAGTAGAATTGCCGTGTACGTAGAGGCACCACCCCTCGCCTGTGAAGCTTGTGGCCTTGCCTCTGACGCGGCTGCATCGACGTGCGCCTGTGGTTTTCAATGCGAATGAGAGTTGCAACCATCACAAAGGATCGGAGATATCAGAGCAAGGGCGCGTTTGGGGGTGCGCGAGCCACCAGAGTCTCAAAATCGACTGCTTACATTGCCTCAGAGTGAAGCCTTGCAACATCCTGTGCCCGCCTCGCCGGGCCAAGCTGGGAAGCCCCATACGTCTGCCTCGCAAGAAGCACCACAAATATCAGAGTGTTCTGCAGAATGAGCTGGCTCGAAGCTGCCATCAAACGGTTCAGCACAATATCCACTTAACTTCGGGAGGCCCCGGTTGAATGACACTTACTTGTATGTAGCAGCAACAACTTACTGCAGAACAGTAAGCGCTGTGCGTTGGGAAGCTGGAATCTGAAAGCAGCCTACTTTCAACTTCTCATCTATGGTTGGACTGTTGCGTGGAGGCATTGCTTGCGAAGGAAGGTTTTTCAGATATCCCATGCAGGCCCACCATCCCAGCGCATGATGCACAATCTCCCAATCAGATCTCTTTTTCTCTCTGTCACATTTTTAGGGTGCCGAACAGAATACTGAGAAAACAAACTCCTTCGAGGCCCTTTATATTAGTAGTAAGGTAGTCCCCCTTCTATCGCTGAGATGACCTTCCCACAACAACCATCCCAGCACTGTGCATACACAGCCTCAAGCCCGTGTTCTCTCATGCAAATCATGCCGTTTGCCGCGAACATGATCCCAGCTGCAAAATGAACTTGACGGATCATACCGGCAGCTGAGGACCAAGCTGTTGTTTGAGTGGGGGTCGCAGCCACAGGCCAACCAAAAGCCTGGTTCAATCCAAGTACTGTCATGACTATCACATCCGACGCTGCTGGAGATTACTGGCGGTTCTTTATTGCCACTGGAATTGCACTATCGAGCGCATTCTGTCTAATCGGCGAATCTTACTTATGGACAGACCGTGTCCAAAGCTGCATGCAGATAAGACTGATAAGACTGCTTCCCATCATCAGAATGATTGCATAAGGTAAAGGTTGACGCTTTCCTTTTCTTCCTCCATGACAACTGCATTGCAGCGGCGCAAAACAGTACTACACGGTATTACAGCAAGGTTTGAGTTCGCTGCTCCGACTGCTACAATTGCTACCAGGCTACCACCACAAGCACCCGCACCTGCACCATGAGGTCTAGTACCACTACCACTACGACTACTTAACGACCACCAAACTCTACTACCAAGACCAGCGCCACCACAGCACCCCCGTGTGCGGCAGCTTTGCTCAACACTAGCTGTTTGGATCGCAACGTACTGTCTTATCACCGGCACGAGTTCACTCATGTTACTTTGACGATCGCCTGTTGACATCGCTGGATTGTGCCATCGCTTCCGTTGCTGCTGGCAGTAAGCCAGCTGGTACTCTAGCAGGCAAGGCCAGAGCAACATTAACATGCCAGCCCCAGGGAGACTTCAGTCTTGAGCTGTACACAAACATGCAGTGCCGCGACCCTTCGGTGCAGGAATCAAATACCCAAACAACAAGCCCGTGTGCTCGGGCCGTTGCGTCCGGCGTCCACCCTGTGTTGGGGGTAGCAGCCTGCGGCTTTGGAGCTTGGGGTCTGTTGGCCTGTGGTAGAGAGAAGGGTCCTGGATTCTGCCATCCGTATCAGGTTCTCTCGGAAAAGAATCTTCCAAGCAGGGCCTTCTTCATCATTACAAGACAAAATCCTCGCATCTTTTCTGCGTGTCAGGACGGGATTCACACGACGTCTTAAGATTTTGAAGCCGCCCCATTCCTACAAAGTTGTGTAAAACCAAGCTATTGGCAAGTTTCCAGACTTTCCAACTTACAATCCTGAGGCGATCCTGAAAGGCCAGACAACTTGTGGGGACCAAGATGGCCCAAGCAAAGCCCTACTGAATTTGCCAAACAACCAGCTGAGGATGTGTCGTATTATGGTCATGGTCTGTACCCCGGTGCATCCCAAGGCATACTGATGCAACACAGAGGTGAAAAGACCATTGGTCTTGTTCTTGCTCACGATGTCCCCGAACTCACACTTCCCCAGGTTAGTTTCCATTTTCTTTACCATTATCCCTGTATAACCCCAATATACTATAGTAGTTTCCATTTTTCCGCTATCCCCTAAATAACCCCAATATAACCCCTATGTAATCCCTATAGCTTCCATTTTCTTTTCCATTATCCCAATATATCCCCTAAATACGCCCTATTATACTATAGTAGTTCCAGCCTAGGTCCGGGAGGCCTCTGAGACCTCAGGCTGCCCAAACGCAAGCACCATGTCATCCTGTGGCCATGCCGTCGCCTCGGAGTTGCAGCGATCATCTTTTCTGAAGAGAGAGGGGCTTGCTATATAATCCCTCTGTAACCCCAATATATTATGTGGTAGTTTCCATTTTTCCATTATCCCAATACAACCCCAATTTTAGGGTTAGGGTCTTACCAGCTACCACCACTACAGCTTGAGGCGTACCTTTACATCAGTTGCATATGGCAAATAACCCGGCCTTAGACTGGGGTTTCCGCTTGACGCTTGAGGTCCTGCGGTGACCCATGAGCTGGTTCAGGTGTGCAGCTGAACCTCTTGTATCTGGCAATCTTGTATCTGGCAATCCCTGTATGCTCCCCTTGGGTGATCGTCATGCCTACCCTGACCGCCACCGATCAACGCTCAGTGGTGAACCGGGCCCATAGACCAACAACTATAACCCTTGTCAGGGGGGGCTCCCAAAAAGAGCCTATTCTCTAGAAACCCTAACCCTATGAACCACTACAGCATTCTGGTGTCCATTTCACTTCCCGCTGCCTTTTCCACCGTCAGCGTCCACTATTGGGGTAAAGGAAACCCCTAGTTGCGGAAACCCGAAACCCTACATATTCTTGTTTCCTTCGTTTATATCCCTATATAACTCCCCTTCATCCCTATCTAAACTTAAACCCTATATATCCCCTTCAAAGGGGCCCAGGGTTCTGAGTGCCTGGCTTGGCCCAAAGGCTGTTGACCAAAAGCTGCGCTGCTTTCGGGCCAGCTGAAGGACCTCACATCAACCTGCAAGGTGTGGACATATATATATATATGTATGAGTGTGTATATATGTATATATCTTACAAATATGTGCATATAAATTTATACTACACTGTTGATATAACTCTGATAGTATAAACCATATAGTCACAACGACATTGGAATTTATATGTGTGTACTGTATACGTTATATGGCAGAACACATTATACACATATAACAGATATGCTAAAGTCATTCAAAATCCTTGTTCAAGGTAATGTTATTAGCAGGGGGTGTGCGGTGTGTGGTCGTCTTCCTTCCCGGCTGAAGTAGGGTTCTGCCTTACCCCAAAACCTGAATCTGTCGGCTTAAACCAGTGCAGGTTGATATACAGTGTTCACCGTGTGAAAGACCAGCGCCAAGTCATTCACAATCTTGACACAAAGCTTTCTGAGCTGCAATTGTTACAACTGCAGGTGCAGCACCGCGACCGGGCACAAAGCGTCAAGCCAAGCCCCACATCTTCACGAACGCAAGACATGCCTATAGATCGCGTCTACAAGGGTAGGAGAAGCCCTGGAGTGCAGCAGGCAGTGCCTCTTGAAGGTTTGGAGACGCGTCGCTAAGCGGCGTCCAACCAGCAGCTCTGTCTTCCTGCTCTTCTTTGCAGTGCATCATGGCTCCGAGGAAAAAGGTTCTATGGGGATGCGAAGCATCTTTCATCAAAGTGCTGCTTCACTTCTGCCTAGGGGATGCGTGGCTCAGCACAGAGATACCGTAGCCGTCAGTAGCAACTCACTAACTCTCATCCAGGCTTGGGAATCCACAAGCAGAATCAGGGTCATAAGCACTCAAATTCCGCGTCGAAAGGCCAAGCAAACTCAAGTTCATGAAGGCTGAACACAGGAAGCCCTCATATTTGTGCTTTAAAGCCTGGATGCATCAGGGTCTGTTCCCTGGCCTTTGAGTGTTCAAAGGCAGACAGCTCATCGGCAGGCCACCCGAAGCTTGCCGGCTCCTCCTGCCAGCAACCTACTGATCCAAACCAACTGAAAAACTGGCCAACGGCATCAGCCCATGGAATATGCGAAAATATACTCTCACATGTGTAGTTTGACCCGAATCTAAGTGAGATAATGCTAGGATGCCGTCGCCACCCGAAATAAAGAAGAACAAGAAGCCGAGACGATAACTGGGGAGATGATTCTCTGAAAAGAATCTTCGGGGGACACTGCTTGCGATTTGAGATTTGGGGAAATGATTCTCGAACAAATTTTGGGGGGACACCCCTTGCGATTTGAGATGTAGGGACTTGATTTTCTGAAAATCTTAGGGGGACACTCCTTGCGATTTGAAATTTGGCGACGTGATTCTCTGGAAAATCTCAGGGGGGCACCCCTTGCCATTTGCGATTTGGGGAAATGATTCTCGAAAAAATCTTAGGGGGACACTGCTTGCGATTTGGGGAAATGCTTTTCAAAAAAAAACTTAGGGGGACACCCCTTGCGATTTGAGATTTAGGACTTCATTTCATGAAAAATCTGAGGGGGACACATTGGCACCACTTGCGATGTGAGATTTGGGGAGATGATTTCGACAAAATCTTAGGGGGACACCCCTTGCGATTTGAGATTTGGGGACTTGATTCCTTGAAAAATCTTAGGTGGGCACCCATTGCGATTCGAGATTTGGTGAAATGATTCTCGAACAAATCTTAGGGGACACCCCTTGCGATTTGAGATTTGGGACTTGATTACCTGAAAAATCTTAGGGGGACACCCCTTGCGATTTGAGACGTGGACGTGTGTGTGGTAGGTGGTGGGCTCTTTGTGTCTCAACAAACACAACCCTGAGAATCCAAGCTACCCGAAAAATGTTTTTGTAAAAACAATGTTGTTGTAGTCTGGATTCTTAGGGTTGTGTCTGTAAAAGGTGAAATTGCTCGAGGGGTTGAAGTGATATTGTGCACCCAACAGATGTTGACGTGGAATTACGTGTGGTAGCTTGTGGGTTCTTTCTGTCTACACAGACACAACCCTAAGAATCCAGGCTACCAAAACCCTTCGAATTGTCCGGTTTTACGATTGGCCTCTTTTCCCCTTACCCTTCCAATTCTCCGCTTGTTTGGTTAGACTGTTTGCTCCTTACACTTCAAATCTCCGCTTTTTTGGTTAGACTCTTTCCCCCTTACCGTTCAAATTCTCTGCTTTTACGGTTAGACTATTTGCCCCTTGCTCTTCCAAATTCTCCGCTTTTACGGTTAGACTGTTTGCCCCTTACCCTTGAAATTTTCCGCTTTTACGGTTAGACTCTTTCCCCCTTACACTTCAAATTCTGCGCTTTTAGGGCTAGATAGTTTGCCCCTTATCCTTCAAATTCTCCGCTTTTACGGTTAGACTCTCTCCCTGTTGCACTTCAAATTCTCCGCTTTTACGGTTAGACTCTTTCCCTCTTGCTCTTCCAAATTCTCCGCTTTTACGGTTAGACTCTTTGCCTCTCTTGCACTTCAAATCCTCCGGCGTATGTATGCATGTATGCATGTATGCATGTATCTATGTATGCATGTATCTATGTATGTATGTATGTATGTATGTATGTAGGTATCTATGTGTGTATGTATGCATGCACGCAAGCACGTATGTATGCATGCATGCATGCATGCATGCATGCATGCATGCATGTATGTATGTATGTAAATTCAGATTCATGTGTATGAATGAAACATTGACCGAATTTTGAGGATGCTCCGCACGGGAGCTCGACTTTGATCGAGAAATCAACGAATTTTAAAGAATGCTCCGCACGGGAGCGCGATTTTCATCAAAATTATCAGGACGCTCCGCACCGGAACGCGATTTTGAACGGAAAAACGATGATATTTTGAAGATGCTCCGCACGGGAGCGCGATTTTCAGGATGCTCCGCACGCGAGCACAATTTTTCTCAAAATGTTCAGGATTCTTCAAGATGCTCCGCACGGGAGCTTGATTTTCTTCAAATTGTTCAGGATGCTCCGCATGGGAGCGCGGTTTTCTTCAAAATCTTCAGGATGCTCTGCACGGGAGTGCGAGTTTCTTCAAAATGTTCAGGATGCTCCGCATGGGATCTTCAGGATGCTCCGCACGGGAGCGCAATTTTCTTCAAAATCTGGACGAAGAAGACGAGCTTGAGCGGAGCAGTCCAGTACAGAATGAAGTAGTATAGAATCCATCCACTTAATGCTAAGTTTTTGAACGACGGAGTGGACGAATCCTATACCAGAGCTATACCGGAGCCCTCCGCTCAATACCGCCCTTGTGAACCCAGAAAACCACCTCGAACGAAGAACACCGGGACTCGTTTGGTATAGAATTGGTAGAAGCTTCCTAGACATCATCGTTCATAAATGGTCCAAATCTTCTGAATGCCTCGCATGGGAGCGTCGTGTTAATCAATTTCGATGAAGATAAATTCTCGAAATTTCGAGGATGCTCCGCACGGGAGCGCGATTTTTGAAGATATAAAGACCATCAAGAGGCAACAAAAACGCGACTGTCTCGAGCGGGAGCGCAATTTGAGTAATTTTTGAGAAAGCAAAACCTGGAATTTTGAGGATGTCCAACGGACACATGGTCCTACAGTACCGACCCTCCCGGGTGCTAGAAATGATCAAAACAATCTTGTGACAAGCGGCGGCATTTATCGAAAGAGATGTAAGCCAAATGGATCGCAAGCAGAAATCAATAACTTGCAGCTTTGATCCTGTCTACCCCCCACCTGTACAGCATCTCTTTGCGAAGTTGCGTCGCGCGCCGCGAGCTGCACTGACGCTTGCACTATGTCTGCCTGCACAAGAGCCCAAGGATTGAAAGGGATGGTTCTGACGAAGTCAAGCAACAGAGAAAGCTGTAACCATGCCGTCCACTTGCTTTCAAAGCTAGCTTTGGGCTTGTAACTACATAGGTTGCATTGCAGGCAGTTCGCAGCACTTCTTGCAGTGCCGCACAAATGTACAGCGTCGTGACTGCTTCCACTTGGCGAGAAAGACCCCAACCGCGTAACCACCTCATACCCTCCAAAACCCTAAGGCTTCTCACCCATATACCGCTCAACGTTAAGAGAAATGGTACTCATGACAAGAAGTAGAAGTGGCAATAATAATAACAATAACAATGACGATAATGAATACTATCATTGTGATAGTAATACTAATAACAGTAATGAGAACAGAAGTTGGCAAAAACCGCCTCGTCGGCTTCGGCTTGCCTGGATGGCACCATCTCAGTTGGCCAGCCAAGAGGCGAGCTTTGGCCCTGCCGAGCTTGGGGGCATGCACACATACATGCACAAAGACATACAGAAAGAAGTGTATAATATATGTATATATATACAAAAATTCATGTACGTAACCTATGCATGTAGAGGATATAAAGGATATAAAGGATATCTACAGGAATAGCGGGGAATCGAATGGACAAGAACATGGAAAATGGAATGCCAACTGAGTTTATATTATAGAATTGAGAAGGATTCAGGCCCTAGGGTTTACTTGGAGGGTGAGGGGTAACTTAGTAAGTACCATAATAGTCGGGATTACTGGGGCTCTCATAAATATACTTACTGGAGTGCTCCTACCCCTCCAAGATCCCTAAACCCTGAACCAAGTGGGGGCTTTATTTTCCAAACTGGGGTTTGGGTTTGGTGTTATCTGGGCGCTTGTCCTACCAGCTGGTCAGTGTGCCAATAGGCAAGGTTCTCGGGTTGCCGGATGTGTATGAAGAAGGAAACTCGCGGCAAGAAGCCAACATTGAGGATCATCATTTTGTGGGGAGGAGCTGCCAAATAAGCCTCCGTGCACAATGGGGTCCTCGATTTTGTGCAGACCTTTGTCGAACTCAAGAGGGTTCTGCTTTTATCCAAACGCATAGTCTGTTCGGGTGTCTGCCGACAAATGACATCTTCGGGCACAACTTCAACAAGCTTCATCCTTCTACAGGGTTCAAAACATCACTCTTTTTGTACCTGTTCTGTTTACTTATCCCTTATACCTTGCTAAAAGACCATAGACTTAAAGCCTGCTACATGAATACCAAGGAAGCCGTCTTCTAGTTGCTCTGAGAAACCTGTGTCATACTTTGCCTAGCTCTGGAAGTGTGGAAAACTCAAATTGGAGGGCTGTGTTGTGATAGGAGCCCTCTCATAGAGATACATACTACACTAATTCAAACCTCCGCATCTGGAGTCTGGAGAAGCCTTCGCTGGGCCCAGCGGTGCGGACACAGCCGACGAATCTGAATCGGACTCCTTTAGTGACAGGATGGAACAGGTCAGGTGAGGGTCTCACAAAATTTGGGTCTCCTTTGGCAGATCTTGACGGAAGAGCATTGCAAGGAAAGCTAATCGAAACTACGGATCCTCAGAATAGAGAATTGTACGAGTAAAGAAGGAAACCCTGATTTCAAGATATGCCGCCAAAAAGCACGGTGTAAATTAAATCCCTGCTCATCTTGTTCCTCACAAAGCTGTCCTAAAACCCCGCATGAGACAGAGAAGATCGCATTCCCCGAGCCTAAACTCTGCCGTTCATGATTCTAATTACCAAGCTGCTTGCAGTTACATTAGCGCGGCAGGCCTATTGATATCAATGATCAGCTACCCATGATGCTTGGGAGATTCTATCAGAACCAATCTCTGCCCCTGGCAATCCTGCAATCGATCGGCTGGAAAGTCAGCCATTGGGGAGGCGCCGGCAGTCTTGCTTGGCGATGGCAACGTAGCAGAAGCAGCCCAAAGAGAACGGGAAGAGCGCTCTTCCTTCAATATAGTTCTAGGCACGAATACAGAAGACGCACAGCCTACATCGCTAAGGTCACTAGATCCGCACACGGAGTTCTACACAAGCATCCAAACGCACAAAGCGCGGGCGCTCTTTGCGCGAAGCAGCCCTCAAGAGACAAATCAAAGAACGCGCCAAGAGGGTCATGTCGGGCTAGCAGTCCTCGACTCGTATGGAAGCCATTTCCTGATCCTGCGACCATTCAACTCCGACAACATCCGTAGCCGTAGCCACCTCGGAGTTGAAAGGCAACAGGTTGGGCCAATACGAAAGTTACCTGACGGCATGCTAGCTCCTGTACGTACACTTGATGGAGCCCCCAGTGTGACTGTACGCCAAACCTGAAAAGCTGAGCAGCAGGCCTTCGGTGATTCGCCATGCCTGCTTCCGTTGAAATAGCTTCGCGTCACGGACTCGCCAAGATCTTCAAACGGACTTCTCGCATCCTGGCTGCAAGGACTGGAGTCTACATATCTGCACAAGGCCTCGTCGCTCTTCGCACTTGCTTTCAGCGCGAAATAATGCTGAGTCAGGACATGTGCCTTCTGATGCCTGAGCAGTGGGCTAACCCGCTGAGCTGCAGCAGCATAAGCAGAACACACAAAATGCATAAAGCATGTTTAGAATCCCATGCCTGTGGCGTATCTGCTTCTCCGCTTCGGCTGCTTTGGCTTCTGGCGGGACTTGTGTCATCCTTCCAGGCCTATATTTTCCGCAGCAACAGGTTGAAACAACTCTGTAGACTCAACACCTGCTTCACATTCTGCTGGCTTGTATAGCCTAAAGTCGAAGTCTTCTGCCCTTAGTCCCGAAACACCTGTGCTCAAGTTTGTGCTGGGGAGAGCAACGGGAGTCTCACATCGCAGCACCCCAAAGTGCGTCAACTTCTGTCCTGCAGGATCTCGGCCGGCATGAAAGCCGTCACCATTTCATCTTCGGAGTCTTGGGGCCCAGAGGACTGGGCTGTCGCAGTGACCTGACGAAAGTCAACCCAAAGGGGCAAGGAAGGCTCCGCTGGGCTCCTAATGCATTATCCAATCTCTTTTCCATTTGATCTTCCATTCTCCTTTCATACTCCTGTTTACTGGAATTTATAGTGGACTTCATGGCCACCATCGGCCAGACATTGCTACCTACCTCCACTCAATGCAGCGCTGCCCGTCCTCGCGGGGTTCGGCCTGGCTGCTGCGGCTGCTGGAAGCAGGCGCTGAGCTGCTGTTGCTTACAGCATCCTGCCACAATGAAGCCGACAGCCGAGCCAAGTGCTAAACGCTTGCAGGCGTTCACCCCAAAGACATGCCGCTCGCAGCTCTTCTAAGCCCATCTTAG